GTTTGGGATGTGTGTGAATCCAGATTCATCCTGGATTATTTTCACTGTCTGAAAAACCCCTGGGACTGTTAGAGGGTAAGCACTAGCACACAGTTTGAGAACCTAGACAATAAGCAACTTCAATAGGAGGATGTGCAGTCCACCTCTCATTCTGTTCAACAGGAACCCTGAAAGATGGAGAGTGAGATATGGGAAATTAATTTCAGTACTTTCATCTTCCCATGCCTGAGCCACCGAAGTTATATTTTGAGGAATGTTGGTAACATTGGATCACTATCTTCTGTATGGCTTTTATGTTGGTAACTGATGTTATTCCTTTAAATACACTGGTTGGTTATACACTTTCAAAATCCTTGTAGTGTATAGCTGTTTGTGTAATGATGATTAGTATATGAAATCCTCTGATACATTAACTCACACTTGCAGCCTTGGCAATGGATTGCAGCTATGTGCAATGTCAGGGTTAATCTAGAAAAAAAAGCAAGTGTAAACTCAGCATGTTCCCTGTCATATTTTCTAACTAAACCCTTTACCTACCTCCTAACATATTTATGATAACTTTAAAACAGTTTTTCTACTGTCAAAACTCCAAGACTACCAAGCTCAAAATAAGCACACTGTAGCATATAAGTGTGTTTTTCAACTTCAGACACAAAGGACTGTGTGATAAACTGTGTGTAGGGGCAACATAAGGAAACATCCAAAGAAACATAACAAAACTTAAAATAAGAGAACGCTTCTAAATCACATATGTTTTGCTTTCAATGAAGTAAAATGATAAACAGATCCAGTGTGGTGTAGTGTTCTGAGCATTGGACTACAACTCTGGAGACCAGGGTTCAAATCCCTGCTTTATTTGTGGAAACCCACTGGATCACCTTGGACAAGTCACAACCTTAGTCTCAGAGGAAGGCAAAGGCAAACCACCTCTGAACAAATCTTACCAAGAAACCCCCATTAGGCCTCACTGGCAACCCTAAGGTATAGCCTTATAAACCAGCAGCTGTTCTGCATGCTTGTTAGACTAAGCCAAAAGCACAATGAAAAGGTACCCATATTTATGCCAAAATAATACCTTGGGGCAATTTGAAGGTATTGAAAAGACCAAAAGGGTCTTGAGATTCTTTGAAATGGGTTTTGAAGCACTTTGGAAATGTTCAGAAAGGCTTTGAAGTAGTCTTCTAAGGTGGTGACACTGAGATGTGAATGGTCATGAATGGGTGTGCATTTCTAGGCAGAAGGGATTAGCATGCACAACTGCCAGTGCCTTGTTGATACTAAATCTACCACCCATTGAACTTTAGATCTGGATCTCCTCGCCTCCTCAGAATGCAACTCCTCATGCTAGCTTACGTGTTGAGGTTGCTTTACACTAATGGCATCTGCATCAGGGTTGTGGAACAGTAACCCAGCCATGTTTTATTGGGGCTCTGATATCAAGAGAGGAGGGGTGATAAGAGACACTCCACACAGGCCTAACAATACGTCTTATTACTTCTTTAGAGGCTTACCAAAAGCAAAATGTAGGGCAATATACCCTTACACACAGAAGATTTCTAGACCAAGTAGCATAAAAGATTAGCAAGGAAGTCTGGTACCTATGAATACTCATTTAACACTTAGACAATAATGCAAGCATTTGCTGACCTTATAAATAGCATATATTTACTACAATAGTATTTAAATCATCCAGTGGAATAATATTATCATATAAACAATCTAGAAAATGAGCATACAACAAAAATTAGATTATTTCAAAGCAACCATAATGTAAGGGACTCTATCCTTGAAACTTAAAAAAAATACCATCAAAGGAACACTCATATATGGATGAGGTATAATATCCAATAACTCAAATATAAGTTCATTTAAAGAAGATATGAAATTCATGAAGTTTTTGATATAAGTTTTACAGAACATGAAGTTAGAAAATCTTATGACTTAAAGGAATCTTGGAAATAAATTTTACAGAACATTAGGTTTTAGATCCTGTGACGGAACCTGACTTGAAATAATCTTATGTAAAATTTCTACTTTTTAAATTTTTCTTGCTCAGTGATTTGGATACAAAGAACATGCCTGATGCTCATTGAATAATAAGCAAATTCTTTATCCTTGCCATGTTTGAAATGCCAAGCATCTAACAGTGATGCTGTCTAATAGATCCATGGATGTCCTTGGTAGTTTTCCTTGTTTTTTCCTTGTTTTCTTGTTCAAAGTTCTGTCCAAATACAGGTCCAACATGTCATTCCAATCTCACATTAGTATTAAATGTTCAAACTCAAATTCAGAAATTTGTTCTAATAATTTTTTATAGAAATTTTGTTGATCATCTGTTGGTGCATATACAATAATCCCATAATCAAAGATTTTATTTTTTGTAATTGTAATTGAATCCCTATCAAATGTTCCTTAGTGTCCTTGAATATTTCTTTTGACTGATATTTTTTGTTTACATAGATTGCAACTCCTTTCTTGTTTTCCTCATTTTCTGAAAGAAAAATATTCCCTAATTTGGGATTTCATAAGAATTTTATATCCCTAGCTCTTATATGTGTCTCTTGGATGCAGATCATGTCCAGCTTTTGTTTCTCTAAGTACGCTTCTGATTGATCACTCCACAGGGAATTCATCTATATTTTTGCCTGATTATTTGGTACTGAGGGCTGAGCCCAGCTCACCTAGTTCTAGGAAGGGCTTGAGCTCCAATGTTATCATCTATTTTAATGGCAATTGTTTGATAGCCTTTCATAAGGAGTAGGATCTTGGTTATAGGTTTTTGTGGGATTTTCGGGCTGTGAGGCCATCTTCTAGAATAATGTATTCCTGATGTTTTGCCTGCATCTGTGGCTGGCATCTTCTGAGAAGAGGTTCTCTGAAGGTTCCAGCCACAGATGTAGGCAAAACGTCAGGAATATATTCTTCTAGAACACAGCCTCACAGCTCAAAATCCCCACAAAAACCTATGGAAGATGGCCATGAAACCCTTCAACTTCAACTTGGTTATAATTTGTCACCAAAGGGCTTTCTCCCACTGTTTACTTCTTAAAAGTTGTCCAGGATACAAAGCACATATCTAGTTTTTTAAAAACATAAATAAAAAACTACCTGCTTAGAATTATGTTTGTGATACACAATGGAATTGTACCAGAACAGACTTTCAATTCCACTCTTGCACTTTCTTGTCATGGCATCAATTGGCTTTCCATTCCTGAGAACAAGAAGCAAACACTGGGTGGGAACCAATGTTTATTGGTGGAGAAGGGACAAGAAGGGGGAGGCAATTCAGACAATAAAAAAAACAGCTCATCTGGGCTCTGAGGGGAAAGAAAGGGAGGATGCACTCCATCCGTGACTGCATCCTCACGTGATTTCCCCTGAACCAAGACCAGCTTCTGCTTCATCAACTGAGTTGACTCTCCCAATCTCCCCTTTGCCACCCCACCACCAATAAGTAATGGCAGCAATTCCTGCCGGAGCTTAGCAACTACCAATGCAGGAGAAAGACATGGAACAGTATGAACAGAGTATTCTGTTCCACCTGCTTGATTTAGGATCTCAACCACTCTGACCTAAATCCAATTCTAATTCCCAACTAAATAACAGTTACTTACGATCCTGTGGGTCTACTCTACCTAGGATCAGCAATTAGATTTTTGGGTAATAGCCTAATCCATTTATTTATTTATTTATTTATTTGAAATGTGCCCCAGTGTATTCACAGCTAAGCGTGCATAATCCAAAGTAAGCCTGATTGAATTCAGTCGACATATTGTGAAGTGGGTCATTCCAACATGATGACAACAATGTCATCCCTTATATCCTATGTTTTCCTCCAAAATGGGATTCAGGCATCTCACTAAAATTAAAACAGATACAGATAAAAATTCATATAAATACAGATAGGGAACAACATGCAAACCATTTTACTAAAAACTGATTTACCTATCTATACATTAAAACAAAACCCTTTATAAAGGTAAATGGTAAAGATCAATAGTACAGCACACAGTTAAAAGCCCTTGTAGTCAGTTCCCAAAAGCCGGTTGGCATAGGAAAGTTTTCCCTTGCAGATAGTAGGACAGGGAAGAAGGCGCTGTCCTAGCCCCTTGAGGAAGGGAAGTGCAAAGCCTAGGTTCATAGGAGAGAGCTCTGTGTTGTTTATCAGACAATAAACACCTATACAACTGTGGTCAATTTTGTTCACCCATAGATTAAGTTCACCCATAGCATGGCCTATTGCTGGAATGTACAGTATTCTTTAAAAGAGCATGTGAAAACATAGGACATCCATTGTGCATGTTGATAACATGCTATTTATCATTTGGGGCACCGTTCAGTCTGTTAAGTATTTAATTTTTCCTTGAGATTAAAAGGTCTTCTTCAGATGTATCTCTGTACATAGTGGTGTCCCACTGAATTCAATGGAATTTACTTACAAGTAAGGGCATGTTAGATACGTGTTAAAAAGTGTTTAATTTTAATCACACAGTACTATGTGCTCAGACATGGCTTTATGCCCTTTTCATTTTGAAGTCCAATTTAAAATGCTCAGATCATCTTAATCATAGATAGGTTAGAGCTGAGGTAATTTAAAAATATACTATTGAGGTGCTGTGTTAGGAGACAAGGTTGTGAATGACAAATGAAATGTAGTGTTGATAAATGAATGTGATGGAAATTTGGAAAATACCACTAGTTAGTCCTATAAAGCATTTGGATGGTAAAAAATAATACTATTGATATTCAAGGAAAACATCGACTTCAGAATCCTTTGGATAGCTCTTTGAGAGCATCAGTTTAATGCACCTTAACCTTGGAAGAGATAAATGAAGTATTTGAATCCAAGTATGTGTGTGTGTGTTGTGTGCCTTCAAGACATTTTTTACTTATAGCAACCCTAAAGTTTTCTTGGCAAGTTTCTTCAGAGGGGGTTTGCCATTGTCATCCTCTGATGCTGAGAGACTGTGATGTACCCAAGGTTATCCAGTGGGTTTCCATGGCTGAGCAGGGATTTGAACCTTGGTCTCCAGAGTTGTAGTCCAATGCTCAAACCACTATGCCACACTTGGCCCTAATGCAGGGGTAAGGAAACATTTGCCCCTACAGAATTTTTGGACTTCAATTTCCAGAAGCCACAGCTAGCACCTAAGGTCAAGAGATTGTGGGACTTGTGCTCTAAAACATCCAGAGGACCAAAAGTTCACCACCTCTGTCCTAACAGCTGCTGTTGAAAGTAGAAAGTGCATAAGTTTAAACTAGGGTTGCCAGTATGAAAACTGGGAGGATTTCTGAACCTTTAAAGGTTATGCTGCTTCTTCCCTGGTTGCATGACAAGTATCACCTGCTGAAATTCCCTCTTCTACAAAACCATTGAAACGACATGTGCCATCTTCTGTATTCAATCTGGTAAGCCTAGTTTTAACACAAACACAATATTCAGTATGATGAACAGAACTCTCAAGGCAAGTGATGGCAAAGAACATTGTCTAAATCCAAGCTATTTCCCAGTTTGGAAAAAGTATGTTTTATTCCTCAAGTGATGCATGTTAAATTAGAATAATGGGGGAGACTTCTAATCCCAGTGTTCTAAGTAAGGTTCATGGGATATGGCAATTTATTCCTTTGCACATCAACTGAGCCTAAACAGCTTTAAGTCTCTTCACTGAGGAGAAGCCTCTTGCAGTCAACCTTCACAAAGGCAAAGCCACCTTTAAGTGATCTGGTAGAGCTCAGAGCTGCACAATCATATTTTTAATAGTTGCTGAACTGAATGTTATCTGTCATTCATTATGTCAACTCAGATGGACAGCATTCATTTGTGGGTGGAGTACTAAAGCACCATCATCTTTTCACTTTTTCAGTTGGCCACCTGCAAGACAAATGAAAAGAATAGTAAGAACGTATGCATATATTTCCAGAGGCAACAGTTGACTCTGGAAAAACATAGGACAGACCCCTAAGGTGGCACCACTTTAAAGAATATTCCCTGAAGCAGTGGCTGTCTTTAGTAGGCCAGAGTAAAATCACTCTTATATCCTCCAGCTAGAAGTACATTGCTATTCCCCACCCTCACTTTCTCTGAGATTCACTGTAGTATTTTATTCAGTTGCTTTTAATGATAGAAATGTTGCTAATCCTGAAGAATCTTAATATTTCCTGTTTTAAGTGAGTGGTAGGTGCTCAGGTTAGTCTTTTTGCATACTACCTCTATATTAAAGTCCAGCAGAGAGAATCTCAACAACTAAATCCATTTGTCCTGTAAATAAATGCAATAACCCAGATTAGAATATCTTCATGCTTTGTGGGGATAATTTTGTATGTTACTCTGAATCTTTCTGCCTGTTGCATCCTGCCCTCCCCTTGTTACCTGTTTCTTGGGAAGAAATAACACCTAACCCCAATCTTTTAGACAAATGCAGTACGGCATGAAGTGGCAGCTCATGAACCAAATGTGTGTGTGGTGAGGCTCATCACAAAATGGTGGGTGGTCCCCCTTGCATAGTCCATATATCATCCATGATGACACATAGGTTGCCCCAACCCTATGTGTGTTTATTTACTGAATTCAATAGGATTTCCTTTCTCATACATGTGTGAAAGAATGCAGCCAAGTCACATAATTCTGTGAAGAATTATTAATCAGATTTTTTAAAAAAATTCTGAAAATTTCATATTTGGGAATTCATATTGAGAAGTTGTTTTTTGCACTGAACAAAAATAAATAAATACAGATTTGTAGGAAATGTAGGTTCTAGA